CTGTTTAATAACAATTTGGTAATAGCTCTAAAACAATATTTGAATCCTAATGAAACATTATTAATATTGATAATTGATTCTTTCAGATTAAAAATTACATATAAATCATCATTCCATTCTGTAGTTTGATTTATATTGTTTATCACTATTTATTGTACGGTACGTGTTGTTATAAATGTAGAGAAATTCTAATTACTTAGCACTAGATTCGAATATTAATATATTTTGCAGTATGAAAAAATATATTCCATGCGTTGTATGTGGTTATGGTGTTATAAGTATTATGAAAAACAAATTTTTTATTATTTTTATTCGATTGTTTATGAATATATACTCTTAAAATGAGCACAGCCCATGACAGCAAAAAAATAAAGATGAAAATCAATACATGTATAAATATCTTTTGCCTTTTTATCTTTTTCATGCTTGAATCATCAAATCATATTTTAAATACATTCGAGCAAGTTCATATGAACAAAATCATGCATAGCATTACTGATTGAAATATTCTATTTATTGAAAAGCACGAGTCTCTGAATTACAGCCCAGGTTTTGGTGCTTATAAAATTCGCGTTACACTTATACGTATAATAGAATAAATGTTGCCAATACATGAAAACACGTCTCACTCTTATCACAGATAAAAACTATCGTACATATTTATATTACACAAGAACGTGATTAAGAGTTAGGTGTTCCATGTTTTTAAAATAATTATTGTACAGTATCATCACAACCGCGTTTATACTGAATTTGAAATAGTTAAAAAACTTTCATTCACTTCTTTACAATACGAATTACCATTATATAATATAACTAAGCGCGTTAATACACCATAACTCGTCACTTCGAATAAATAAAAAACTGATACATGTGAAGATATTTACATAATAGAGATAATCTACACGAAATCGTCTATAAATTTCACTAAACAAACTTTAATACATACAGTTTTAGTTGTATATTTGTGTACGTGAGAATGGAAATATTAAATTAATTTCTACTCGTTTCGAAATATTTAAAATCAAAGTCGGATTGGCTTGTGATGCTTCTACTCAGCATGAAATATTTAATTTCTATTGTCGGGGATATAAAAGTAAATCAAGTCTAGTATAAGGGAAAGGTGACTTACGTCACTTTCATTTTCACGTACATGTTTAATACTATGATGTAAATCAATCAGCTTTTTCTTTTTTGGTTTATGCAATAAATATCTTAAGAAGTAATACAAATTTTGCAAACAGTAGTTGAAGTCGATTGGAACATTGCATAACCAATATAAAATTATTGTTTTATAAAAATACGACTAATCCTCATTTTATTTAATATTGTAGAAGATATCTAATATGGAAATTATCTTACGTTCCCATGGACATGTATTTCTTACACGTCATATAACCAGATAGCATCTGTGTAAGCAATAGCTGGTTGCGAACTTCTTCGTCTTCCGGATATCGTCTCCTTGTTTCTTCGTTTGGTAGATAATGAGTATCATTGTATTTTTCGAAAAATCTGCCGATTGCGTGATTTTTTATCCATTCTGGGTTTGCCGCCAACATTAAATTATCTGGTAATAAATTCATGAGTCTTTCTAAAATATCCTTTTGAATTCACACAATTTTTTCTCATCTTGAAATAAGTGATTTTTACCTTGAGTTGCGTAATAATATGATCCATTGTTCACTAATATATTATAAAATGGTTGTTCCTCATGCTCGTTCAAATCATCTTCATCCCCTTCGTATACCATTTCCATTTCTAGACTGCTATCTTCACAGCAAGCGCTCCATCCAGTTATCACACACAAGTATCCATGTATTTTGTGTTTCATTATCAATCCTACTGCGTACTTTATACTGGGAAATCTTTTATTTGGTCGCACAAACTGAGTAAACAAAAATAATCATATAATAAGAAAACTGTATGATTATTTAACAATTTACATATTAATATTAGCTTGAGTCTTACCTCCGGGTGTATTGTATGCTTGTAATTTTCGACCGTCAGAAAATCATACATCACAAGACCCATCTGTATGAGTGATTAAACATTTTAGCAACACTTCTATTCGAACGTGTATAATGTTTTATAACGTATCACGTTTCGCAAAATACCTTCTGCACATCTTTTAAGAATTCGGTTATATCCATTTGCTGGGAAGTATATAATCGAGTCAATTGTGAAAGAGCGTCCGTGTCCCTCGGTTGTACCATACACAACAATTCCAAGGCAGAACGCAATCTTACAGTTCTAGCATACGTGTGTTGTCTAGCAGCTACTACTAAGCTGTTCGCCATCTTCGTTACTACCTGTTGTAAAAAAATTAATATATCATATGAAAACCTTAAGAGATGTTATAAAGAGATGTTACAAACTTCTACAGCATTCGCTGCTTCGTAAACGTTATATTTCTCTATTGGACATCTTGCAACGCTGCCGATTTTGGGACAGTTCTTCTTAGTTATAAATCGACCACCATTGAAAACGTCGACATAAAAACTTTCTGCGTTCGCAGATTCTGGACCACTGAAGTGTAATACAATACAATTGAAACTAAGAAATAAATTGTTACCATATCGTAAATTTTTAGACTCTTTCAGGAGTCTACCAGTATTTATTGAAAACATACTATGACTCTTTCCATCGTAATAGAAAATGTGACGGAAAACTAACAGGCTCACAGAGTATACCGAGCCTTCGAGCAACACTTTCAAATACTATTTCTAGAGTTATCGGAATTCCACGTCTGTATATTAGAACCTAATGAAAGAGCAAAACTTACTTAAATATTACATATAATTTCTCCTCACTTTTAATTTCGTTTTTATTTTACGTTGATTCGCAACTTACGCGATCTATAAAGGAATTCTCCGATGAGTAATACATTTCAGTGTTCCCACAAAAACCTAATTTCTCAAATAATACTACGCGCAACGCATCAATTATCTGTCTTGTTTCTGGGATGCTCCATTGATTGTCATCGACAATATTGTTCTTCCAGGAATCTAATGTCTCTTTCGGTGTTGAGAATATTGGATGAGTTGGATTTTGTTCCTTAAGTAGTTCTTTAGTTAGCATAGCAATACTATCTAATGTTAATGATATTGTCGAATATGATATATGTCTTTCTGGTTGACTCCATTGTGCTACAAAAGTTGCAGCACGTTCCAATGTTTGTTGCGTTGGTGACATAGATATAAATTTCGACCATTCATCTTTTAAACGACTTTGTCTCAAATATCTAATAACTTGGAAAGCATAATACCTATGTGTTAAATTGCTGGCACTGGAAATATTTATCCATATTATTAATGTTGTTATAAAAGTATAATAGAAGAACTCAGGGCAAGAAACGGTCATTTCGATTTTCACTTGACTCTAGGATTGAATTGCTTAGTCGCTTGGCACAAGCAGCAGTAAAAAAGAGTTATTGGTTAAAGAACCATACTGTTTATTTCACTGAAAGAATTGTAAATTTCTATTTTAGGAAGGCAGCTGAAAATCGAATTGATCGACCTGTGTTGTGAGCTCTTGAATTGTGTTGATTAGAATTTATACTTACATAGCAGGAGATTGAATAAAATTGATAAGTTCATCCACTAAAAAGTGGTAAGCTAATGGATAGGCACCTTGCTCAGGACGGAACAAAGGATCATATTCTTTAAATACTGACCAACATAATTCTCGTTCCATATAATGTTTACTAGACATTGCAAATAAGAGATCTAACAATTTTCTTCTAGTTTCCAAACCAATTTTTACTTCGTCTTTCCAGTTTATTACAGTTTTAACTGGTAATATTGGATATACTTCTGTGAGATATATTTGCTCCAAAAGCGGCCATCTATTATTTTAAAAGTACGTATTTGATTAAAATATTTATACGTAAAATTGATAAACGGCATATGAAAAATATATATCTCGAATAGCAAAGAATTTCAGCAAGAACTATTTAAAATTTTAAGATGTATCAAAACTTAATTTATCACGTGTTCATTGTTTACTTAGACAGGTAATAAAATAATCGTTATGATTCGTTCAATGTCAATAGTAACTGCACGATTTATTATCTCTAAACGATGTATTGAATTTGTAGATTATACTTTTGAAAGAATTTGGCCCTCCAAAGGTTGTTGCTGCTGTTAATAATTTTGTTGAAGGTGGTGCATGTCGAGCCAAAGTTAATCACATCCGTAAAGCCTAGTTGTGTATCTTCTAAGATGTGCACGATTATCTCCCAGGGTAATAAGATTATTGCGTCACTGGCCATTTTTTGTAAATATTTTGCGATATAACGAGCAGTCAGGCAAAAACAGCAGATCCAATCTTCTACATGTAGCGTACGATCGTGAAATCAATTAAAATAACCGTCTAGTCACTGCGCAATGTGCTGTGAATTCCGCGGTTGAAATGGGTTGAAAACTCCTACAACTGTCGTTCAAGGTACGATTTGACACTTCCAGGAAGAGGCGTGTATTTAACAATAATAAGCAATCTATGGAGCCGAGCAGAACCGCGTAGAACCTAGGCTCCACAGTCACAATCACACTGCCACTGTTGACTCACATTCATAAGCTCACAATCTTTATACATATAAACCATCATACCACACCGACCGACCGACCACACCACTTCTTATACTGTTACGTCTGTGTCTCTGTCCAGGGCTGGGATAATTTTTCCCGCACGGCTCGCTTCCCCTGTTTTTCGCCCGTATTTCGATCCCCACTCCTATTCCCCTCGTGCGCCTTCGCTGACCATGCCTAACATACCCCCGTCAAGTACCAGACCCCACCATGGTCGCCTCGTCCCCACTTTCCGGCCGAGGGAAAAATTATCCCAGCCCTGTCTGTGACTCGACGCCGCTCACTACTACCATGATTATTATTGTCAATATTTAATACGTACGCACAGGTACGTGATGTAACCAATCGCAGCAACATTCTTTTCTAGGTCAACGCGCGAACTTCCAATGATCACTTTGCGTTAAAATGTAATCCTTATACAAGTAAAAAGTATACACTATTACACACGGTTGTTATGAATTATTGCATCATGTTGTGACATATTATTATACAGTGAAATGTGAGGTGGCTAAGTACGATATTTAAATGAAATAAATGCGACTTTATGTAAATGAAATCTGTTTTACAAGGACAATGCTAGACAACGAAAGAAGATAAATAATACTAAAAACAACAATTCGATTCGCAACATTTTGTTGCCTTTCTACTTTTTATTGTTATGAATGCTATTTGATATATAAAATGATTTAAGCAATATTCTTCAATCCTGATATGAATTTAATACGCATGGTAATCCATACTTTGGCGAAGAGTCATGCAATCGACTTCGTCAATTTTTAACGTGTTCGTTTTGACATTGATGTCCTCTTCAATCTGAATCTGCGTCTTCAGTAAATAACGCAGCGATGCTTGAGCCTGGAAAATTTAATCCTCGATAGTATCATTGGCAAACAGCAGAATGATAAATTGTGAAAAATGCAGAGAGTAAACCTCGAACATTGATGCCTGTAATTGTGACACTACATCGCGCAGCTCATATACTTCTTTCAGGAGATTGATCTCGACTAAGTCTCGTGTAAGTTCTAATCCCGGTCTTTGACACCGATTACCCATCCTAGTATGCGCCAAAGCCAAGAAACCTTCTTTCTCCGCGATCGATTTCTCGATACGCGTGATATTCTGCTTCATTTCCGCTGCTTGTCGCATTATCTGCACATATGTATACGTACATACTTTTTTTAATATTATTTTTGTCGCTTTATAATTACACTAACTAATTCATAGATTCAGATCTACGTTTCACGATTATACTAATTTTCCGCGCTTATGCAACTCGAATATTTTTATAATTTTCATGATCTTTTTAAAACTAATTGCCCATCTACCTCGGAATGCTGTAACTCCAATTTCGTTTTCGCTTCTTTAGTTTCTTCAATTCGTTTTCTGAAAGCCTCATCAGTAGCATGCTTTTGTTCAGTTAGATCATCAACGGCTTGTTTAATAATCCTGTCAATGTAACAGCGTAATGGTCTTGCACTGTTCACCTCTTTTGAAGCAGCGACGATATTGTTATTCGTCTGCATTTCCCATTCATTCAATTCTATGGTCCTTAACACGTAAAAGGGAATTGTAGACGTAGAAGATTAGATAATTATAAACAATAACTAAATCGAGAGAGCATGGAAACAATAATAAAAAGTAGTACCCACGATGGATCGAGTCGCGAGGCACCGTGATAAATGCTTAAATTTAAACCAGTCTCCCTGAGAGTTAAATTATGTCTGTCAATGCGTATATTATTCTCCTTGTCCTCAAGCTCGTGGTCCATGTAGTAAAGCGTCGCTTTTAGACGACGTATTTGTTCCTGAGTTTGCTCCAAAGTTCGAACCAGCAAACTCTCAGCACCCCTAATTACTTCGCATTCTTTCAGCAATTCCTTCTCAGCGTCGTCGCGAACTAAATCAATTCCTAATCTATGTTCTCTGTAATTAGCGTGACGAGAAAAAAATTCCATTTAATACGTGCGACTTGGAGTAAAATTTTCGATATTTCTTTCTAAGTCAAACCTAAAGATGAGGCATTTCTCGCAAATAACGAGAGCATTCCTCCTCACGGACGCTAAAGCATCCATAATTCGCTGCTTGTACATCGACAGAGCATCGGATTCGAGGAGAACTTCTTTCCTTATCCGTAATAATTCCTTCTTACGAAACTCTATATCTTCTAATTTTTCTCTGAGTCTGTGATCTGTTTCTTCTTTATTGTTCCGAGCAGTTTCAGAACTGAACTCACAAACGCGTTGACATTCATTAAGCAGTCGATCGGCTAATTCCTGCTGCGCTTCCGAACATCGATACCTGATTCATTTTAAAAGTATTCTTACGTCTTGTCATCTATCTTTTGCAATCTACCATACGTAATTCGAAAACTTTGCTGTTTATTTCATACCTGTGACGATTATTCAGATGCCACTGATCTAAAGTAAATTTCAGTGGTGGCGGAGGAATCAATGCAGGTGCCTTATTATTCATAATTGAAATTTCTCCTTTCTTCGCCTTGTCCATCGTTCCTCAGGAAGAGCGTTCTTTCAAAGGGGATGGTTCAAAGGTTTGATCCATATACGAATGAATCATCCCGAAGTTGATCTCTATAGAAACGCTATTTACAGTTTGTAATTTGTCCTGATATAAATTATTTTCGAATCCATGAGACCACAAAAGAACGTAACTGAGTATTTACTCAAGCATACTATAAATAACCAAATGTATGTTTTATATTACTAAGTGCTTTTGATTAAACAGGTTGTCTGTTAAGAAATTAATTGATTTAAATCTGAACTTAGCGCCCTTACATATTAACCGTTGCATAGGTGATATAAAGACCTTCAATATGTTTAAAATTTTTTATTCATTTATATCTGGCTTTTTTATTGTCCGCTAGAGGTATAATTGTACGTAGCAGAACCGCTTTTTACATTTAAATGATATGATAAGTGATGATATACATATATAACAAATTGCAAAGAATTGAAGAGCCGAGAATAGCGTATTTTTTAATTTCCGCGCGGTAGCCATGAGCGCAATCGCGCTGCACCCGCAACAAACCTTACATACTGCAGTAGCCGTGGCTGTGAACTCATATCATTTCCCATCTCAGTTGCGCCGATGGCACCGTGCCCCTTAGCCCGCGTGCCCGCATCACAGCCCGATACCGGGCATTTACAATTGCAACTTGTAACTTCGAAGAGTTCCTAAAAATGCGGCGTCTGCTAGAGCGCTGACGGCGTAATAATAATCAGGAACAAAGCAATTTAATCTAATCTGTTGAACAGTATAAAGTATGGATTCTGGGAATTGGGCTCAGCAAATACAGCCTTCGATGTTTATCTATTAGCAACATGTTCTGTTTAAAATGGTGTGCGTTTTATAACGATTAGTCATGTCATGGGCGAGGTATAACCTACGTACGATGTTTCTAACGTAACGTATCAGTCTGATTATCGTCAATAAACTGAAAATATATCCGATTAAATGATGAGCGATGCGTACCAAAGGCCTGCTACTGTTGCTTATCTGCATAGCAGGGAGCAGCATCATTTTCATTGCTTTTTGCAATCAACGACCTTCCATACAAACTTTGGTTACAGAGACCCACAAGCAATTACGAAGCTTCCAAGTGAATATCATCAAATTTTATTTGTTCTTATTATTAATTTTCACAAACAAAATCACGTCTAATTTGTCTATCATTGTAGGAGAATTTGAAAGATGTCGAGGAGAAGCGGTTAGTAACGGATTCTAAATATCTTGCGATGCTTGGGTTGGATGGACAAGCACGCACAACACCTTGTAGTCTTAAATCCCAAAATGTGAATGTTGTTTCCCTCATTAGACCTGGAAATGAGCAACACATCTATGGTTTTGTGAGAAATATTAGTCACTTTTTACCAAATAATAGCATTGTCATTTATAGTGTTGGGTTAAATGATGATTCTTTGCAAAATATTAAAACAGCTTGTAACTCCACAAAGTGTAACGTAATTCATTTTGATACAAGTCTATTTCCAACTCACGTTGAAGATGACAGACTCCATGTTTATAGACCCTTAGTTATTCAGGTAATCAAAACTTTATTAACACCTATAGTCCTACATCATTTCAAATTCTTTATGTAACCAGATGTCGTTTCAAAATCTCTAGTCAAGTATATGTCCGTTTTGTTACAAAGTATTATTAATTATTTCTTTTCTATATATCATGTTCCAGACAGCTTTAAATACATTAGGAAATATATTGTACATGGATTCAAATGTACGCTTAAATTCTTCAGATATCGTAAAATGTCTTTCTCCAAAATCTGGAATCTTGACTTGGCCTACAAGGCATGCAATTAGCTCCTTGACGCATCCAAAAATGTATGAATATTTTCATGTTTCTGCAGAAAGTTTCTTCTTTCTTCCTCTAATTAGAGCATCACACATAGTAATTAGGAATACAAAAGAAATTAGAGAGAAAGTGATGTTACCATGGGTTCAATGCGCGTTAACAAGAGATTGTATTTGTCCCATTGGTATGATATGATAAAAATAATTTTCTCTGCACATGCATAGTAACCCAGTAAAAAAAACAAACATGTAAATAACTTTTCCTTGATTTAGGAGCTCAATCAGCGGGTTGTCGATTTAATAAGAAACCGCAATACCGGTATTCCGGTTGCCACGCGTATGACGCTTCTGCACTGAATATCGTACTTGGCTTGCACTTCAATTTCGACGATACGTGTTACATACACCAAGAACGTGAAACGTATTTCAATCAAATACAACCAGAGGAGATTACCGAGGAGTATCTTATGATCACGCGACAAAACAATGCGACTGAGTCGAATTTAAGAAATATCATATCAACAGAACGCTAATTTTTTTCGAAGATTTTGAATCATTTTAAAAAGAGAATTAAGTGATACATCGATGAAGCACAAGTTAATATATAAGGATATGTACTAAGTTAAGAAACGAATAAAGACTTTAGTGAATAATTATATTTTGTACAATTATTTATTTATTAAGTATCTCTAAATATTTTTATGAACATTGCGAGGGAAAATGCGCTTTATTTAGTTATATACATATTAAGCTGTATGTCAGCCACAAATGGCTTAGAAACAGTTTACGAATTCTTCTTTCGCCTTTCAACCTTTCGCATCCTGATACCTCCATTCGTTTTTGTACCAACGTTAATAATTGTAGATAAACTATATGATGACAAGAACAAAACATAAACGACGGACTAACATACAATGTGATACCCCATGAACAATATAAAAATCATAAAAAATGTTTCTGTCACGTATTACCGTTTTCACCCTTTTCTCTTTCACCCCTCCCCCTCCTCTCGTATAATATGTCTACCCCCTACCATCGCACTTCATATTTACCTCTCTGCGTTTTCCTATTATCTTAACCATTTACCACAATTACCCGAAGGAACTATTTTATGCGATTCCTTCTTTCTTATAACTCCGAGTGCTTTAGAATATTTATATCATGTTCCAGACAGCTTTAAATACATTAGGAAATATATTGTACATGGATTCAAATGTACGCTTAAATTCTTCAGATATCGTAAAATGTCTTTCTCCAAAATCTGGAATCTTGACTTGGCCTACAAGGCATGCAATTAGCTCCTTGACGCATCCAAAAATGTATGAATATTTTCATGTTTCTGCAGAAAGTTTCTTCTTTCTTCCTCTAATTAGAGCATCACACATAGTAATTAGGAATACAAAAGAAATTAGAGAGAAAGTGATGTTACCATGGGTTCAATGCGCGTTAACAAGAGATTGTATTTGTCCCATTGGTATGATATGATAAAAATAATTTTCTCTGCACATGCATAGTAACCCAGTAAAAAAAACAAACATGTAAATAACTTTTCCTTGATTTAGGAGCTCAATCAGCGGGTTGTCGATTTAATAAGAAACCGCAATACCGGTATTCCGGTTGCCACGCGTATGACGCTTCTGCACTGAATATCGTACTTGGCTTGCACTTCAATTTCGACGATACGTGTTACATACACCAAGAACGTGAAACGTATTTCAATCAAATACAACCAGAGGAGATTACCGAGGAGTATCTTATGATCACGCGACAAAACAATGCGACTGAGTCGAATTTAAGAAATATCATATCAACAGAACGCTAATTTTTTTCGAAGATTTTGAATCATTTTAAAAAGAGAATTAAGTGATACATCGATGAAGCACAAGTTAATATATAAGGATATGTACTAAGTTAAGAAACGAATAAAGACTTTAGTGAATAATTATATTTTGTACAATTATTTATTTATTAAGTATCTCTAAATATTTTTATGAACATTGCGAGGGAAAATGCGCTTTATTTAGTTATATACATATTAAGCTGTATGTCAGCCACAAATGGCTTAGAAACAGTTTACGAATTCTTCTTTCGCCTTTCAACCTTTCGCATCCTGATACCTCCATTCGTTTTTGTACCAACGTTAATAATTGTAGATAAACTATATGATGACAAGAACAAAACATAAACGACGGACTAACATACAATGTGATACCCCATGAACAATATAAAAATCATAAAAAATGTTTCTGTCACGTATTACCGTTTTCACCCTTTTCTCTTTCACCCCTCCCCCTCCTCTCGTATAATATGTCTACCCCCTACCATCGCACTTCATATTTACCTCTCTGCGTTTTCCTATTATCTTAACCATTTACCACAATTACCCGAAGGAACTATTTTATGCGATTCCTTCTTTCTTATAACTCCGAGTGCTTTAGAATATTGCCTTACATTTAGATCGTTCTTACGACCATTTTCATTTTTCACTCGTTACTCATTCTTCTTAAGGATGTATTGGCTATACAGTCAATCCCAAAAGTTTATGCACTTTAGAAACGCATTTTTAAAAAGAAATCAGACGTCGGAAGAACATTGCTAATAAT